TCCACACACAGTTACAATTGTGAATAAGCGCTACACAAGCACTTCTTCCGGATGTTTTGCACACAGCTACACCCAACTCCGAGTGTCTCGCACACAGCTACACTCAACTCCGAGTATTTCGCACACAGCTATACTCAACGCCAACTAAGTGTCTTGCACACAGCTACACTTAGCAACTACGAGTGTTTTGCACACAGCTACACTCACTAGAGTATTTTGCACACAGCTATACTCTTTCTACAATTACAAATACAAAGGTAATTGTATCTCTCTCCAACTAGATTTGAGACTATTCAGACTAAGTCTCTAAGAATATTTGAGCACTTGCACTTTTGAATTTTTATATGTATTGTACTTCTATCTCGTTGCTCTGCTCCTTCTCTACACCACGTCTTCAAGTCTTCATGGCTTTTTATAGGCAATCAAATATATCCGTTGGAGTGGGATAATTTGATATTTGAATTTTGAATCTTCATAGCCTGATATTGTTGACAATAGTAGGTCTTCAATTTTGATTTGATTGTCAACTTGCCTGAAAAATAATATTTTATCACAACTTGATTTTCTAGTTGTTTCTTAAAATATTATTTTTCTTGTTATATTGAATATCCAACGTATCTTTGAAATAAATTCATCTGATAGAATTTATTTCTAGGATAAGTTTTTATATTCATGTCTTCATAAATATTTTTCCGTTCTGATCAAATGTCTTTCAGACAATTTTGGATTCTTGTGGCATGTGGGTAGACTTGGAAATAAATTCCTTCGAATTTATCCAATTTCTGATCATCTTGCTTCTTTGCCACATTGTGCTCCTTTGACTTGAACATCGTGCTCCTTTGACTTGAACATTGTGCTTCTTTGGACACATCGTGCTTGTTCACATTGTGCTCCTTAGCACACATCGTGCTGTTTTGGTAGCACTGTGCTCCTTCAGTAGCATTGTGCTCTTTTTAATACATTGTGCTCCTTGGTGAACATCGTGCTCTTTTGGACATTGTGCTTGTCCGAAAACTTGACTTGTAAAGATTAAGTCCTTGGGGGGGAATTGATCTCGGGTATGATCATTTTGAGTAAGGACTTCTACCATTTCGCCATTAGGCTCATCCGGTTATTCTTTGCAACGCCATTCCTTTATGCTTTTTTCTCGGATGAATACTCGTAGGACCAAAATTAATTTCTCAAATTAATTTTGTTCTTCCTATGGTAGATTTCTTTTGACTCGATATTCTGATTTATGATGCCTGTACTAAAAGACCTAAAAACTAAGGGGATCTAAAGTACATTTGGCTCATCAAAACTTACAAAAATATTCCTATCAGTAAATTTTCTCTCTGTATCTTTACATAGAGTTTGGTTGGAAGGGAGACATTAGAGAGAAAGAAATAAAGAATAAGGTGGAATAAAGTTGAAATTCAAATTACATTATTTGGTAGGAAGGAATGAAATTATAGGGAACGAGAATAGAAGAAGTGGTATAAAAATTAAAATTTCCTTATATAGGGACAACACTAATAATAATCAAGGATAAAAAAATCTTTTTTCTTCCTTTTTCCCTTTTCTTTCCCCATTGAATTGCAATTAACATGAGGAGGGTATGAATTGCAATTCTTTTCAACCAAACAGTGTAATTCGGGTGACCAAAGAATTATGTTGTAATTGAATTGCAATTGCATCCAACCAAATAGTCAATTAGACTTCAATTATGCTAAGAAGAAAAAATGTATATATATATATATATATATATATATATATATATATATATATATATATATATGTGTGTGTGTGTGTGTGTGTGTGTGTGTGTGTGTGTGTGTGTGTGTGTGTGTGTGTGTGTGTGTGTGTGTGTGTGTGTGTGTGTGTGTGTGTGTATTCAAATGAGGACGAGTATATTATAGAGGACTGTGAGGACAGATGTAGTGTGTGCCATTAGCCGGTATGTCATGTGCATGGCCGAATGTAGTCGTGTGCCACAGTTTGTATGTCGCGTGCTAGATTTGTTAATTTATAGACCCTGGGTTCGAAACCTGATGTTTGCATTTATTCTTGTGTGCCATTATTTATTAAGTTGTGTGCCTGGTATTAATTTGTTGTGTGCCCATTATTTGTCCTCTATATATTGTTGTCCTCATTTGAACTCAACCATATATATATATATATATATATATATATATATATATATATATATATATATATATATATATATATATATATATATATATATATATATATATATATAATCGCACTTAGGTGCGAATGCTTCGCCCAGGCGCGAAATAGGAATGGATTCTGTCCATTCACGTGTCAAGATCTAATGGATGAGAAACACTGAATTTTTAAAAAAAGCGCGGTGGCATTTTCGTAAATAATTAAACATCGAAGTGCAAGTAAAATGTATTACAACTGCATGTAAAATGTATTATAGGTGCAAGTAAAAATTTACTCTGAGCATCAATACTTAGTGCACTGATAGTTATAAGTAGTTGCACCTATAGTTCTAAGTAGTTGCACAGATAGTCATAAGTAGTTGCACCTAGGTGCATGAATGTTTGCGGGTAGTTTTCTGGGGTATTACTACCCGCTGAACTCAGATCAATGAATGTTAACAAGGCAAAATTACATGCACTTATAGGTGAAAGTAGGTGCACCTATAGTTATAAGTAGTTGCACAGATAGTTATAAATAGTTGCACCTATAGTTATAAGCACACCCATGTGCATGAATGTTTGCGCGAAGTGAATGCTGCTAACAAGGCAAAATTACTTGCACTTATAGGTGAAAGTAGGTGCAATTGTAAGTGATTTTACTTGCACTTCGATGTTCAATTATTTACGAAAATGCCACCGCATTTTTTAAGTTATTAGATCTGGACATGTGTCGAGCGCTGATTCGTTCGCATATTCCTTCCTGAGCACTTATTCGCACCTGAGTGCATCCCTACACACACAACACCATGGCATTGTTTTGACGCTGAAAATATAGCGGCCGAGTCAAGTCTCAGAGATTAATTCAAACTTTAATCAAAATTCTGCCAACGCACATGAATGAAATGACCAAGCAGCTCTTCCACTGCCCAATGCGTGGGGACCGTTCACTTACCAAGACAACGCACCAGCCGATTCAATCTTTAATGTTCAATATATATATATATATATATATATATATATATATATATATATATATATATATATATATATATAGTGAAAGGTTCCGTTTGATTGGATGCTTCCCGTGCGGATATGCGGTGGATTAATGTGCGTGAGATTTGTACTCAATGTGCGTGAGTGTTGTGCTTAATATGCCTGAGATTTGTACTTAATGTGCGTGAATGTGTAAAATGCAGCAGAAAATATTGATGTTAGCTTCTTCCCCATCCCAGTAGCCATTTGCCCCCTCCCTATTGATGATGATGCGGAGGCGAGCTATGGTGGATAAGAATTATGAGAATAATACAACAGAAATCCACACTTAGCTGCTGTGCAAATTTTACTGTGCGTGCGTCATTTATAAAAACATTCAACTGCATTGAAGGTAGCTGATAATCCAAAATCCATGGCGAAATTGAAGGAAGAAGTAACAAGAAGCTTGGGCGTTAATGTGCATGAGTTTCTGTTCTGCTTCTTCTGAGCTCGTAATTCTGAAAAACTCACGCACATTATGCACAAATCTCACGCACATTAAACACAATACTCAGGCACATTAAGTACAAAACTCACGCATATTAACATGACGCACATTAAGTACAAATCTCAGGCATATTGAGTACAAATCTCACGCACATTAAGTATAAACCTCACGCACATTAATCCACCGCACATCCACATGAGAAGCAACAAATGCACCTGATCCCTTCTATATATATATATATATATATATATATATATATATATATATATATATATATATATATATATATATATAGTACTATTGAAATTCAACGAAGTGATTTCTATATTGCCGCCTCTCCCCGTTTAACTGTTCCGACTTCCGATCACAGCTTCTTCTCAAAACCAATCTCCTGTGTTCCCCTGTGATAGAATCTTTACTCTTTAGGGCTCGTTTGATTCGCGGAAAATATTTGAAACGAAATGAAATTAAAATTCCATGGAAAAATTGTTACTGGGAAAATGGATTCCAGTGTTTGGTTGGTGGAAAATGAGTTACTGGGAATATTGATTCCATTGTTTGGTTGAATTTGTGATTGTAAGGAATAATGTGTATAAAGACTTAAATGCCCCTATACAATAATAATAATAATAATAATAATAATAATAATAATAATAATAATTATTATTATTATTATTATTATTATTATTATAAAAGATAATAATTTATAAATTAAAATATTATAACTTATCAAATTCATCACAATTTTTCTAAAGCTGCAAACTACAAAATTATAATTCATCACAATTTTTTTTTTCAAAGTAAAACCATGGTTCATTATTAGAATGGATGTTTTACATGATTGAAATGTATGAATCATCAAATTCAAAATAATTCCATCTATACACATTATTGGATATCAATGCAAACATATATATATATATATATATATATATATATATATATATATATATATATATATATATATATATATATATATAATATTTCAAGCTATCAACATGAGGAATAGATTTGAGGAGATTGTTGCTGCTAGAATACCTGCACTAACACCAAACTCCTTTTTTTTTTTTTTTTTTCTTTTTTTATTCTTTTGTATATGTGGTTTTTAATTCATCACAATTAGTCTAAAGCTGCAAACTAAAACAAAGAAGAAAAAAAAATTAAAACAAGCAAACAAACAAAGCATCGTTATGATACACATGCATGATACTGATGTTAGCTGCAAACGGCAAGTAGCTTAACAAAAGATAATATTATCTGCAAATTGCAAGTACCAATATTACAGCAAACTAGTTTCAAAATATTACAAAATACATAAGATATTCAAGTTAACAAGTTCATCCTTTCTAATTCCCCCCCCCCCCCCCCCCCCCCAAAAAAAAGCTAGCATCATATTTTTACATAGCTAACTTCATACTTATAACAGGATACTTTCTAACTTGACACCAAAAACAACAATACATTTCATCTAGCCACACAAACATGTTCAATATGCAGCAAGGAACCTTTTCACCCATTCAAGCCTTTTGTCCGCTGCAAGGCTAAAAAACATAAGCATTTGATTTTGATATTTGGGAAGCTTGATCATAGTCATAAACTTGTCATCATATGGCAGCCCCTCAATCTCACTCAACTTTTCCTCTAATTCTTCAATCTTTTGTTGAAGAGTCAATTCGGTCCCAAAAGTTTTACTTATTTTGTCTCCTACAGATTCTAACTTCTCACCCAACATCATGGCAGCAGTAAGCAAAGAATCTGCAGTAATAGGGTCAGATGTGTCAATGCTTTTCCTCTTCCTCTTTGTAGCAGATGATGTTTGAGTCGGGATAAAGGAGATATCATTGTCTTGCAAATCAACTGGATTATCATCTTCACTACCTTCCATTGTTCCACCAATGCCTTCAAAAGGTTCCGCATTACCCATTTCATAAACTATATCTGCACCAGTTTGTGAATCTTTTCCCGTAGCACGATCTTTTCCATAAATATCAATGAACTCATTATAAAAAGGAAAGTTTTTCCTTCTATATTGGGCAGCTTCTTTATGGCTCTACAAAAAAAAAAAAAAAAGTTAATAAAAAAAATCAGTAACAGCAGTGAATAAAAGGTATAAACTGGAAAAACAAATGAAGAATATAGCAAATTTGGACATACACTTAAATAAGCATCCCAAACATCATCTTCAGCAGTAACCATCTTCCTTTCATCATCCCATCCAAATCCACTATTATTATTTGTGAACAGATCAGGGACAATGCTCCATTCTTTCTTCAAAGTTTTGACTCTGGACTCAATGTGTGGTTTAGCTTTTATATTTGAGTTAGGTAATTTAGTTGCAAGCATTTTCTCTAACTCAACCAAATAGCCAGCTTTAAATCCAGTATTAGACTTTTTTGTTCCCATATTATGCAAATCAACCATGCAAGAAACTAGCATAGCATCATCTTCATGAGTCCACCTCCTGTTCTTTACTTTTGAGCTTCCCGTGTCAGCAGTTGCCATAATTATGTGCTAAACTTGAAAGTTAATATAAATGTCATGGCTTTAAACAAATATACCAATTTAAACACACATAAAAATTTAAAATACTTGCATAAGAAAATGTCATAGAGTAGTTCAATACAAACATAGAGTTCTACATACAACTAAAACTATCTAGAAGCTTGCCATTGGTTGAATATTTGATTTGCTAATTCCATTCGCCAATTTGTCCAAGCATCGGATGGATCAACTGTATTTATTGAATTCATTTCACCTTCAGCTAGATCAAACTCATCAAGTTCACTTTCCATAGGATCAAATTGCATCACTTGTCTAATAAAATTGTGGAGCAAACAACATGCTATAATAATGCGATTGTGTGTCTTTATATGGTAATATGATGGGCTCCTAAGAATGTCCCATCTAATTTTTAATAACCCAAAACACCTCTCAATCACATTACGGGCAACTGCATGTTTCATATTAAAAAATTATTGCGGGTTTGTAGGTTGATAACCTTGGCCCCTAAAAGGTGCTAGAAAACCCTCACAATTTGTATAACCAGCATCAACTAGGTAATAACAACCTATATAAAAAATATATACTACATAAGTGACATAATTAGTTGACAATATCTATTTAATAAACTGAATCCTATACAAAGCTTACCATGTGGCACTTTCAATGCATGTGTCCTACTAATTGCATCACGAAGAACTCGACTATCTGCCACTGATCCTTCCCAACCACTTAAAACATATACAAATTGCATATCAGGAGTGCACACACCTAAAACATTTGTTACAATGTCTCCCTTACGAGTTCGATATCTAGGCTTAACCGAACTTGGCACATTAACCTTGATAAATGTCCCATCTAAAGCACCTAAACAATTCTACAAAAAATATGAACCTTAATTTAAAAAAAAAAAACAAACCCAACATATATAATACTTCAAAAATATTTAAGATGATAATGTACCTTAAACTACTTCCATCGATTGTCGGTACAATTTGTTGGAACGGGTTCGGGTGTTCTAAACAAATGACCTTGCAAATGCATTATGGCATTCAACACTTTATGAAACGTCCGACTGATACTCTCACCTGACCTTCTAAAATTGTATTGAATGACTCGATTTTTAACATGATGAGCAAGAATATGCAAAAAGATTGCTACTTGTTCATCAATAGCTATGTTCCTTGTTGGTTTTAATCCTCCTAAGCTCTCTAACATTTCACATAGTTTGTAAAAAGCTTGCAAATTCATCCTAAGTAGTGAAATGCATGACCCATTATTATTCAAAATCCGTCGAACATACTCTCGTTTAGGATAACTCTCAAGAGAATAACGCCTAGTGCTTGGCCTATAACTATTGAGAGATGCAGCTGAAGCCATTAATAGTATGAAAGCACTAACAGCAGTATACATCTCTAAAAAACAGACAAAGCAGCCACAATCTTTTTTCTTCTTTCAGCAGTTCTACGTATACCCAAACGAGCCATGACTGCATTAATGGTTAGGAAGAAACATAAATGGATTGTTTTTTTTTTTCTAATTGATATGATAATATTTTGGAATCAATTTGCACAAAGCGAAAAAGAAGAAATAAGTAAGATGCTATAAAAAAGAACAATAATTGCTGCAATTTTTTGGCAGCAAAATAAAGATAAGGCAATGAAAAATACTATTTTTAGCATACAAATAAATTAAATAATATAGCCACAAAATTGCATTTGTGGCAGCAAACATGAAGAAGTCCCTGCCAATCATATCTTCTGCCACACCTAAGAAGCTAAAGCGTGGCAGTGAAATCCATGAAATCTTTGCAAGGGAAAAAGAGAAAGAAACCAGTGAAATGCATGAAATCTTTGCAAGGGAAAAAGAGAAAGAAACCAGCTAATTAAAGCACGATCTATGCGGAGCATTAGTCTGACAGCAACTAAAAGCAAAGAACTAAAAATATTCAAAAACCAATCAAAAATTACACAAAAATAAGTAGAATAAAACAAACTAAGATGTGAGAAGAAACAACTTACCCGGAGGCGAGATAGCAGTGCCGTGCTTGAACTGTGGACTGTGGGAAGAAAGATGTGAGAAAGGGCGAGAACTGGAGGAGGAAGAAAGCTGTGAGAAGAAAACGGCGAGAAAGCGAAGAATGGGGAATGAAACGGTAGAAAGGCAACAAATAACCCTAGATTGCTATTTATATGTATGTAATTAAGAAAGAAACATAAGGGTAAAATAGTCCACTTAGCTAAACTTTTCTTCCCTTCTACCGTGGAAAACAAAATACCAGCCTTGTGCTCAGATTTTGTTTTCTTCATATTTGAGGAATTAGTTTTCCATTGGAAAACAAATTCCATGAACCAAACATCATAAAACTTTGTTTTCCTCAAATTCTAGGAAAACCTTTTCCTTGGAAGTTCTTTTCTGTGAACCAAACAAGCTCTTAAGAATTAATTAATGTTCAATAGATATTCACAGTGCGATTGAAATTGAATAAATTGATTTCGATATATGATTTATTTGTGTTTTTTTACTCTGCAATTGAGTGCACTAATCCTTTCGTATTCCAATTTAATTACTATCACCAAGTACACATTTTAGGATTTTGTTCTAATTTTAATTTCTTTCTTCTTTAAATTGCATATGTTGAAGTTATGTAAATGATGTCGGGGTGAGATAGAATCAGTCAACTTCTGACAAAAATACTTGACAATATTTTGGGATTTTCTCCAATTCCAGTATATTTTGAACCAGATAAATGGTATAGGGTTCCAAATTGCATATTTTCTTGCTTAACTCTCAAGATGTTGGATCTCATTGGAGTATTTGTTGCACCAACAATAAATATATGCCCCTTGCATATTTCCGAATGTCACTTCACTTAGTTTTGACAATGTTATCTTTAGTGCTATTAATCTGGATTCTGTTATAGATGTTCCTATGCTTGAGACTCTCTCAATTAGCAGATGTGAGAATGTGTCATATTTTGCATTAAGGCTCCAAGGCTTGGCAGTTTAACACTCAGGAATTATTTGTTTTTAGACGATTTCAATGGTTATCTTCCTCTTCTCCCGATTAACTTGGACTTGTCATATATTCATACTCTTTGTTTGGATTTTAATTTCAAGGTATATTAACTAACCACAGTACTTCATCTTTTTTTTTTTTTTTTTTTTTTCTTTTTTTTTTCTTATTTTTTTTTTTTTTTTGGTGTTGATTATTACTTATTTGAAAAATATTTTAGGAGCTAATCCCTTTTGATATCTTTTTTTATTTCCAAGCGTTTTGTCAGTGGACTTACTAGATGTGGACGTGAACTAAATATGGAATTCCTGGAGTTACACATCTCAAATTTAACGATGATTATGAGTTTTCTTCGTTTATTAATTCATTATAAATATGCCCAAAATTACGCAAGCTTGACATAATGAGTTTATGGGTAATCTTCGTTTTCATTGATAAATTATTCACTACTACAGAATTCACATATAACATCGGCCCTTTAACGTTGGCTATTTACTTAACCGACGTTAAAGCTTAATTTATTTTTTTTATAAAATAACATATAACGTCAGTTATTTACAAACAACCGACGTTGTAGATAAAAAATAAAAAAGAGACTACAATACAACGTCCGCTATCTAGATAGCTGACGTCATACATTATTTTAATTTTTTTATTTTTTTTAATCAATTAACTTACAATGTCGATTTTCATTTTAACCGACGTCGTAGGTTTTTTAAAGCACCTCATGCCTCACAAATAGGTTTCATTTCGCACAGCCAAACAAAACAACCCTATTCGACGTCTCGGACATTGCTCAACCATTGCTCACTGCTCATCGCCATAAATTCCTTCAACTTCGTTCCGCTCAGTCACCGCCCACCGCCACACCGCCCCGCACTGCAACCGCTCTTCTTCTTCCCAATCGCTCAGCCACATCTGCAGACGCACAGCCTCCGCTGCCCAGCTACCGCAGTACAGCCTCCGCCGCACCGGACCACAGTCGCACCGCTGCACCGCCGCAAGTTACATTGTAAGTTTTTTTTTTTTTTTTTTTTTTTTTTTTTTTTTTTTTTTTTTAATTATTATTTCAATTTCTGAATTATTAGAGTTAGAATAATTATATTTGAAATTATTTATTAATGTATTTTGAATTTTAGGGTTTATTAGGTATATATTTTGAATTTTATAAATTATTGTATATATATTTTGAATTTTTGGAATTATTGTATATATATTTTGAATTTTTGAAATTATTGTATAAATTAGGTTTATTAAATATTATTGTACCCATGTATGCACACAGATAACAGAAATACTTATGTTCCTAGTATGTTTGATTCTTGTCAATTGGTTGAGCTCCGACCTGTGGTACTGACGGTTAATAGGCTTTTGGTAAGTTGTATTTGTATTTGCATAGATATAGTGTGTATATGTGATATTTTTTCTGAATTTGTGTTTGTTTTTAAGGGTTATTGTTTTGATTATGGTGATTTTTTTTAGTTTGTATCGAAACAGTTAAGTGAAGTTAGATTTTTGCTCATAAAGTGTTGTGAATCAGATATAGTTTGACAGCTCGAAGCTAGTTTGGTAAAGATCAGATTAGAAAGTGTGGCAAAGACTGATGCAGAAACGTTGAAAAGATTGTAATTATATGAGAAAAATGCTACTTTAATATGCATGAAACCAAACCTTAATTTATTTATTTGCCATTTTTCTACTTCATACTTGAATTATTTGGTGTTATTGAAGCAGCAATGTATCTTTGTTTCTTTTCTGTCAAAACAGAGGCTTTGAAATGTTCAGATTCAGTTCTAATTGTTAATTACTAGTACTTGCTAAGTTGAAATTGTGGTTTCTAGCTATCTGTTCATGCATGGTGTGTTTAAGTATGTTTTATACTCTGATGCCTTCATCATTTGTTTCAGTGTCCATGTCCCTTCATGAAACTATGACACTTAAACTAAGACCATGATCTTGAAATTTGTAGCGCGTGATAAACAACAAAATCTGCACGGCCACTTAGTTTTCTAACAGATATGGAGTATTAGTTAATTTTGTGATGAGAACCAGTATTATTAATGCACAAACATAAAAGTTTGTATTCTTAATGTTCAAAGTTATTATTCACCACTATGTATCTTCATGCAGAAACATGAAAGTTTACTCACAAGCCCTTTCTGTGACACCCCGTAAATCCAAATTCTATTTAGGGATTAATTAAGCAATTAATCCTAATCCAATTGATAATTTATTTTTTAAATTCCTGAAAGTTCAATAGTCAGGGACTAGTAATTGACTAGTCAACCCAAGTCAACGAGTTGTACTCTAAGCTTTGTGAATAGTTCCCTTGTTCCCTTAAACTTTTCCGTCTTAGTAAGGGTAATGAAGACATTTCACCTCATGATTGTATTCCAAGATAACCTGGAGTTGCCTTTCATTCTTTCCCTTACACCTTCAAAACAAAAGCTCTTCCTTCTTTCTTGAAATTTAGCTAGCTTTTCCATCAAGATAAGTTTGGGGTTTCCAAGATCTTCAAAGTTTGTCTCCAAGATTCCACATTTCCTACTCTTGAGCATCTAGGAGGGTACGATCTATGTCCCTTTTGTGTTTTTAGTGCTTTCTAAGGTATCTTTTTCTAAATATGAAATCTTTATGGTCTTTTGGTGTGTTCTTGAAGTGGGTGTTGAAGGTGAACCTTGTTTGGAGCTTTGAGAAGTGTTATAAGTGAAGGTTTAGTCTTCAAGAGGTAACCCATGCTTTACAAAATCTATTTTACTTACCTATATGATGATTTCTTGGATTTTACATGTGATTTTTGCTATGAAATGTGGGTTTTGATGCATTGTCTTGTGAAAATGCATATCTAGAGCTTGTTATTAGGGTTCTTGTATGTCAATGCATGGCTATTCCTTTGATTCAAGTCATTTTGTTGTATTTGGTGAGATTTTGGGTGTTTTGGACTTGAATTTGAGCTTGGCGTTGAAAATCCCTGAAGGGATATTTTTTTACAGGGTATTGTACCCGCAGGTGGAACGACGGGTAATACACCACCCGCCGCCCCACCTGCGGGGTACGAGTGATGAGGAACATGGTTCCTGCGGGCGGAACCACGGGTGGGCGTCCACCCGTGGCCCCACCCGGGGTACAATATTGTGATTGTGTGGGGATTTGTTCCCCGTGATTCTTTTGGCTCGGTAATTGATGTTTTGACTTTCCGATGTTCTTTTGTTGGGCTTTTGAGTGTCTTCTTGATGTTTCGTAT